TAATTTTATTTATAATTTGCATAAAATCTGGTCTCTTTCTATCCAGGGTGGTCAACTTCCTCATGGTGTGGGAGGGGGCTGCATAGCTGCAATTTCCAGCAAAACTGAACCGTACCTGCAGACACTATGTATGATGTGGGGAAGGCCAGGGTTCCCTCCTGCACCACAGAAGCACAAGACCACTAAGGCACTGCATTTCCTTCCATTTTGGGAAAACTGAATGAAAAATTCTGATTTGAGATTATTCCTTAGCAAGCATATGTGTTGTTTGTTTATTTTTGTTGAGACTGCCACAAAAAAGTATGGTGGACTTAATGAGTAACCACAGTGCACAGTTATAACAGTCTGATACCACTTTATGTACCATGACTTTGTCCTAAGGAATTCTGGTATTTGTAGTGTGGGGAGGTATGTAGAATGCCTTGAATTACCACACTAGAACTTTTTGGCAGAGAATTTTAAATACCTTTTAAAACTGGAAATCGAAGAAGAAGAAGAAAGATTTATTTATAACACCCTTTTGACCGAAGGGTGGAACAGCAAACATATATAATAAAAACACACAGACAATAAAAATGCTAAAATAACATGCCAATAAACTAAAACAACTCATTATCAGTCAGTACCCATCCTGGCAACCTTAGGGTATCCCAGGATTCCTCCCATGGGAGGCCAAGTTACCCTTAACCTGTTTTTCTTCTGCCAGTGGGCAAGGACCTTTTTATTTTCCCAAGCCTTTCACTGCAAACTGGTCACTGAATGTTTTTAAAGTGTTTGTCATTGCCTTCCCTTGAGGCTGAGAGCATGTCCAAGGTCACCCAGTGGGTTTTCATGGCCAAACGAGGAATCGAACCCTGGTCTCCAGAGTTGTAGTCCTACACTTAACCACGATGCCACACTTTTTAGTACATCTACACTTATCTAAATTTCATTAACTCAGTGGGTCTATCTTAGTTGGGATAACAACTGGATTTTAAAAATCTCAGCAATACAACTGGATTGCCATTTTGCTCATGTGCCATGTTATGAAATTCAATTGATAGTTTAAACATTTGTCAGGGCCATACCTTAGTAATGTCGGTGTAAAAGTTATACCATATGACCAGACCATGTTGCCAAGGAGGATTGATGTGAACCAGTTCAGTGATGTTTAACGGTGAAATAATTCATTTGACATAATAAATATTAGTCATGAATATAGCAACTAAACAAATTGGTGGCTGTCCCAGTTTCTTTGTTTTGCTTGATTTTAGTTCTTTCTGTGCTCACATTTGGGCAGAAGGTCAGAGAGAAAAATCAACCAAGAATGAAATGTAAAAAAAAATTAAGTGGGTAGTAATTATATTTGTAAGCTGTCTTGGTCGCTTAGGCAAAAGGCAGGATATAAGAAATTATGATTAATAATAATAATAATAATAATAATAATAATAATAATAATAATAAGTCTTGTTATTGTTGCTACTTTCCATACTGAGGATGTTGCTTGTGTCACTCAATAAACCTTTTTGGTTTATTTTTTAATCATTTCTATGACATTACAAATACTGTCATCTAACAAATAATCCTAGGAGATTCTGCACAAATACATCTACTTCTTTATGCTGAGACAATATCATATTGTAGAACCAAAGCCTGACATTCTGATGACAAATTGGTCAGAAAAATAAATGTGAAATACATCAAATAATATTTTGCAAAGCCATTTCTATGTTTCTGATTTGTAATGTTAATTTTTTAAAGTCACAATTCATATAAGTTAAATAACATGAACCCTTCCATTTTATACGCTTGACATTCAGACTATGGTCCAAAACACACTGCAGAAATAATCCAGTTTGGGATCGCTTTAACTACCCTGGCTCAATGCTAGAGAATTCTGGGAACTGTGGTTTTGTGAGACATTTAGCCACCTCTGTCAGAGATCTCTGGTGCCACAATAAACAACAATTCTTAAGATTCCATAGCACTGAGCCAGGGAAGTTAAAGCGGTCTTAAACTGGATTATTTCTGCAGTGTGATTTGGACCTATGATCATGTACCTCCTGGTAGGACTCATGAGGCCCTCTGTATATTTTTTAACGAATCCTAGCCAGTATAGCTAGCAGAGAAGAATGCTAGAAGTTGCAGACCAACTTCTTCCTTCCTTCCAGGCCACAAAGTTCCTGGGAGTAAGTCCCTTTGAACTCAGTCAATTTCCTTCTCAGTAGATATTTTTAATTTTTAAAAAATAATAATGAAGTTGGAAGGGGTGCTATGGGCCATTAGGTCCAATGCTGGATTTCTAGCTAGACTGCTAGAGCATCCCCAGCAGGTGGCTGTCCAGACTCTTTTTGAAGACATCCAAGAAGAAAACCCCACCATCTCTCAAGGCAATTGGTTCCATTACTGAACCTCTCTCGTTGTCAAGATGTTCCTTCTAATGTTCAATCAAAATCTACCCTCCTATAACTCCTTCAACCTCTCGTCATGTGTTTTGTTCTTCATACATCTTATTATCCTCATTGCCCTTATCAGAACTCACTCCAACTTGTCTATATCCTTCCTAAAACGAGGCACCTAGAACCGAACACAGTACTCCAAAGGAGGCCTGACTAGCACAGAATATAGTGGGACTATTACTTCCCTTGAATTGGAAACTATGGACCTTATCACACGCTGGCCACGAAGCGAAAAGTAACCGAAATAAGAATAAATTCAGTTCTATACTGAAATGAACTGAATTTCGCCTGCGCGGCCATTGCGCAATGATTCCGAAAGCTCCCTTGTACTTCCCCGAAAAACCGAATGTCAAAAGATCTCAATTTGTTATGGATTAGCTCCGGGTTCTGTCGAGTTTCGGTGCAACGTCGTGTGTAAACACGGAGAAACAATACGGATTAGCTCCGGGTTCTGTCGAGTTTCAGTGTAACGTCGTGTGTAAACACGGGGAAATAATATGTATTAGCTACGGATACCCTTTGGATTAGGTCTGCTTTAGACCCCGTGTGACAAGGTCCTATGCTTCTATGAATGCAGATTAAGATCCAAAGAACTACAAAGCGATTGTATGAATTCCAACAGGTATTATGTTGGTATTTTTCAAACAGCTATCTTTTGTAATGCCACATGGTAATCCAATTCTGAAAATTGGTGAGGAGGGAGACATTTAAAAAGGATGGCTTCCCTTGTCATTAGGTAGTTGCTTCAGGCAGATGATTTTGGGTGTCATAAAAGGACAGGAAATGGTGAGCTATTAGTTATTACAAAGAGGCTGTGGTGAGGTGTCTGCTGAAAAAAAATCCTTCTTGAATCTGACCCCACAAGATGGCTACCATCCAGTTACCAATATACCGTTCTTGGACAAGGTTAATCTAGAGTGCATGGTGACCTCCCAGTTCCAGGGGTTCCTGGATGAAATAGATGATTTAGATCCATTTCAAATTGGTTTCCAGCCTGGTTATGGGGTGGAGACAGCTTTAGTCACCTTGATGAATGACCTCCAGTGTGTCCCTGTTGGTTCTGGTGGACCTCATGGCAGTTCTCAGTACCATCAGCCATGGTATCCTTCTGAGTCACATGTCTTGGATGGGACTTGGGGCACAGTTTCACAGTTGTTTATGGAGGGGTGAACTCAGAGGGTGGTACTAGTCAATTCCAGTTTGACCCCATAGCCATTGGCGTGTGGGATCCCCAAGAGCTAGGCTTTGTCCCCTATACTATTTAGCTTCTGAAAACACTGGAAGAGTTTATTTGGAGTTTTGAGTTTGGATGTCACCAATACATTGATTGCATCCACCTCTACTTATCCTTTCCATTGAACTTCAAAGAAGCTATCTGAGGGCCTTTGCAGACTGCCAGAAATAGTGCACATTAAATTGAGGCACTGCCCTGGCTCAGTGCTAGGGAATCATGGGAACTGTAATTTATTATGGCACCAGAGCTGTCTGACAGAGAAGGCTCAATGTCCCAGAAAAAAATACAATTCCCATGACTCCCTAGCACTGAGCCAGGGCAGTGCCTCAATTAAAATTGCACTATTTCTGGCAGTCTGCGAAGGCCCGGTGTCTTCTGTTAGTAATGGACTGGATGACGGCAAACAAATTGAAGTTTAATTCAAATAAAGCAGAAGTGCTTCTGGTCAGTTTGAAAGGCACATCAAGGAATATGGGTACACTCTGTGCTGGATGGAGTTACACTCCTCCTGGAATCTCAAGTCTTGACAGTGGCTAGGAGTGCATCTGTACAGTTAAAGCTGGTGCTTGTGTTGAACTGACCACAGTAGCAAGTACATTAGTTACATACCATTTGAATCACCATAACACACACTGTGGGGTTGCCTTTGGAAACTGTTTGGAAGCTGCAGTGAGTACAAAATGTTGTAGCAAGGCTGCTGACTGGAGCTGATTACTGTGAACACTGTTAGGAGGCTGCTCTCTCTTTTCTTGTAATGTTAAATATTTGCTGCTTGTCTTATTGCCTTGTTGGGGATACAACAGTGTCCTCCTGCTGACAGAAGTAGTTTTGTCAGAGGAACTAGGCCTACCTTTGCCCACAGCTTCCTGCATTTTTTTTTCAAAATATGATGAGCAGGGAAGCCATCAAAATATGATGGAGCAGTTTCAAGTGGCACTGAGGGATGCAGCAGAGAAGAGAGAAGGAGAAAACCTCATTGTGGTCATAGAGGTACCCTGACATAATATGGGATATTGGCCAGTAAAAGCCATGAACTTTTGTTCTCCGTTAAAGCAGTAAAAAAACCAAAAACAGAAAATGCAATTCTCCTTATTTTCTTGCTTATAGTACAGTGCAATGCATGGTTACTCCAGATTTATAACCACACTGAGTTCACCTGGTTGTTGTTGTGGCGGTTGTGTGCCTTCAAGCTACTTCTGATTAATGGTAACTCTAAGATGAACCTATCATAGAGTTTTCTTGGCAAGATTTGTTCAGAATGAGTTTACCTTGCTCTCATGTGAGGTTGAGAGAATGTGACTTGCCCAAGGTCAGCCCATGGGTTTCCATGGCTGGTCAGGGATTTGAACTCTAGTCTCCAGAGTCCTAGTCCAATGTTTAAACCACTATACCACACTGTCTCTCTTTTGGATGTAGTGTTGCATAAGTACACATAGAATTGGGCAGCCTCAGTTTAAATATATTTCTGTTTTTCCATCCTTTTAATATTATCTTGGAATAGTGTCCAGATTTATGAAAGTAACTGTGTTGCTTTTATGCTCAAAGAATCATTATTAATCTCTGTTAATAATGAAGGATTTAGAGCAGAAGAAAAATGCATTGCCACAAATACCATATGCTTCCATGGAAATGATACAAACTCTGTACTAGCATTTCTTCCAACGTTACTTTATTTTTAAATTGTCTACTTTCCTTTATAATTTGTGATTAAGACTGTGTATTTTATTTATCATTACACTCATCCCTCCCTGTTTGCGTACTTGGCGCCTGCAGTCCATTGCGGATGGCAAGCAGGGAGGGACAAAATGGGGTGCACACCCATTATAACCAATGGGCTTTGAATATTTGTGATTTTCCCGATTCGTGGGTGTGTGTGTCCAGAATGGATCCCCCGCGAATTGGGAGGGACAACTGTATATGTTGCCTTGCATATATTTTGAAGTAAAAACTGGGATATAAAAATAATTTTAAATTTTGATTTGGGATAGTGAATTATTTTTGTCAGAATGCGTGGGAAAGCATGAATGACACTTTCCCCATAACGTCTAGTAATCATCTAGTTATCAAGTAGCTCATATGTGTCTTGTTGTCACGGTGAATAATTAATTACTCTGAACTACTTGCATTGTGCAAATTGCAGTTACTTCACCTGTAAAGAATATCTATCTGTTAAAAAACCAAATTTCTGTTTGTTTTTATGAGGCATCCTAGTGTTATAATTTATAAGAAAAGAAACAAAATCAATTAAATTTCAGTTTATAATTTGCCATGTTCAGCCATGAGAACGACTGAATCTTTTAATTAGACTGCTCATGACCTTGGCAGATATTCAATGCTATTCTTGTGGCAATTGAGAGACCATTATTTCTTTCTAAAATAGAAGTACAGAAGTTAGAATAACAATACACTGGAGTAAAAATGGCAATGTTGCTTGGTTACATTTCACCTCTTGGGAATCGCGGCTTTAGATGGTTCAGTCTGGGTCCAAACACCAAGGAGATTTCTGAATAATTTATTAGGGATCCTCTGTTATTTTCCAAAGGTGTAGTCCTGCTAGTCTAAAAAAGCAAAAACAAGAAAGAGTTATTAGTCTTTAAGATGCCATGGAATTCTTCATTGTTTATGCTCCAGTATGAATGAGTGATATCATGTCATAGCTATAGTTGTCAATATGTGTTGTTGTTCTTTCCCAGTTCAATATATAAATAAAAAGGTATTTTAAGTCCTTGAAGTGTTCATATTGATCAGTATTGCTTTTTGACTTGTTATAAATAATTTAGTTTTCATTTGTTCAGAATTTGGATCCTTTCCAAATTTGAAGCTGTACTTTCCTCTGTTGAAGTGTAAGGATAATATAGTCCGCTTAGTATATTACTTGGGCAGTTGCTAGAACTGGCTGCTTATGACCTTGGCAAAGTCTGACATTTTAAGTTCTTTGACCTGTAATAACTTTAATAGTCAAAAGCTAATGAATTTATCATATGGGGAAAATTGGAAGTTTAAAATGGTAAGAACATTGGTAAGATGGGATTTGAATTGATTTTATTTGTTCTCATGTTTTAAAATGTTGTACACCACCCCAATTGCCTGGCAGAGGGGCGGGATATAATTATTATTATTATTATTATTATTATTATTATTATTATTAAGAACCTATTATTAACTCACAATTACACAAATGGTTTTCACACAAAAAACACTGTTATCCCATGCTGAATCCGAGATTAATCCTCACTTGCGCGCAATGCGCGAATGGTTTTCACACGACGGGACCAAATGCGCCTCCATCCCGATAATGATTAAAATGCACGCATCC